ATATATATATATATATATATATATACATAGTAAAAGCAGCTCAATGAACTGGCAAATAAGTTCTATTTGACTTGTTACTTAAATTATATTTGTAATTTTACAAAAATATTTTACTATAATTAAACTAGCATTATCTACTAATTGTTTCCATATCATATTTTACATGGCTAGTATAGACATCATAACCGAGAGATATCATGTTATCGTAAAGTACTCTGTAACGTGTGGGAAGAAAATAAAAGTTAATAACTTGTGCTGGAGGCCAAATGACCCATTCAGCTATATACAGTCTATGCGCTTTTTTCCTAATTTCATTCTTAAACTCTGTCAAACTGTTATTCTCCATCAAGGCCAGTGTAAAAAAAAATGTACTTATACAGAGAGGTGAGCAAATTAACTGATCAATAATCACTTTTTTTAAAACCATACCAATAGTACGTCCAGCCATTCTAGTGTCTAAAAAATTATACCAGTAATGACAAACTATTCCGATAGACATGCCAGATACAGACATATTTCTCGTTCTGGTAAAACTCCATTTATCCCATTTGCCCTAAAGAGAATATAAACGAGTCATCATCTAAATATACTACCACGAAAGGCTACGATTAACAAACCTTTAATATTTCATAATGTTGCTCTAAAACATCTCCTATGCCAGAAAGAGAAATCGATATCCCTATATTTGTGTACAATAAATGTTTAGGAGAAAATAAGCATTCCTTCAAGTGATTTATTTTATTAAAAGTTAGCCCCATTCCTCTTGCAATATTCATTGCCTAAAAAATAAAATATTGTTATGAGGTACTGCTATTGCAACATTTGATCCAAATCTTATGTAATAAGTACCGAATAAAATCCAAAGTAAATTATATTGTTTATTTTAAATAATTAAAATATTTTACTATTTTACTGCTGACATGAAAATATATAATTATACACACATTTGTCAATTTATAAAATGCTATTTTTACATTATCCAAGAAAATAAAATATCGATTAAGATTAATATATACATATAAAAAAAAAAAAAATATATATATATATAAGCTTATTAACAAATAATCAACATAATCTGATTACAATAGAAATCATCTGGATAATTATTTAGAATACCCCCTCTCCCCTATTAAAATCTTAATAAAAATATATACTCATTCGACGTGTTTTTATTCAAAACAAAAAAGAAATTAACAGAAAAATGTGGCAGTTAGCCTCATGAATCGAGCTATTAAGCATTGAAGTTTAACAAGGGATCATCTCGGTTTGTACAAGTTATTGAAAATCCTTGGTATCAATAAAAGTTGACAGCATAAGATGCAAATTAAAAAGAAAAGGCAAGACCGTGTAGGTCATAGGAAAAATAGATTCCAGAAAATTTAGTATTATAATGTGTGGTAAAAGTTCTAAAACGGCTGTATCTCAAAAAATATTGGATTTATGTAAAAAAAATGTTTGAAACAAATTATAGTTTAAGAAGAATCGTCAGAAGTTGATATTAATTTGACCTTGGGATGGCCTTGGAAAGTGATTTCATTTTAGAAGGTTACTACAAGATCAAATTAATATCAACATCTGATAGTTTTTTTCCATTACTTTTGTTTCAAATAATTTTTTACATAAATTAATATTTTTTTTAAATATTAGCCATTCCAGAATTTTTATCACGCACTATAATACTAAATTTGTTTAAATCTACGACCCATGATACGAGAATATCAGGTGTATCATTGCGCATAATGGCGATAGCAATACTGGAAACAACCAATAAAATTTTGGTTTCAATGCACTTTCCTGCGTATAATAGCGCTGGCATATTGGAATAGCCAATCAAATTTTGACCACAATTCACTCTCCTACTGCGCATGACTCCTCGGGAATGATACACCCGGTATTCTTACATCAAGCTACGATCTTGCCTTTTTTCTTTATTTACATCTTATGATGTCAACTTTCACTGATATCCATGATTTTCACTAACTTGTACAAACCGAGATGGTCCCTTGTAAGACTTTAGAGGTAAAGGCTTCCGAGTAGTTGCCCCGGTTATGTTGGAATCGTGATGTCAGAAGCGAGGAATGACACGTTAATTTATGTTACGTGCCATTTATAAAAAAAAAAAAGACAATTTAGCTAAATCTAAATGACGAGATCACTTTAAAAAATCGAACAAAACTGTCCTTTCCTCCCTCGATAGTCAGCAAGTGGTGGTAAAAGACACGTGAAGCGAGTCTATACTCTGGCAGGAACACACGATCCGACCGTTGAAACGTGTGAAAAATACGCTTTTACATATACAATTCCACGATAACTTTAGTTTTCTTCAATAATTACGACTTTTATAAGTACGAAACAAGTGACATTTTCACAATTAAGCAGATAATAACGAAATGGCACGTAACATAAAATTTCGTCGTCAAAACGTCAAAACGTTACTTTTCACACCTAATAGTAGTTGAGCCTTTTATCGTGGCGACTGGCGAGCGCTGTAATACACGCTCAACTAAAGTCACTAGGCTCAACGCTCCGAGTTGAATTACTCAAATAAAGTCTCTATCTACTAAGCTATAGTTCTAGGGACTCTACCTGTTCCTATTGCCTGTGCTTACTGCTTTTCATTGTGTTTCCGGCTTAATAATCTGGCTATTTGGCGCTGATCTTCATCATTGTTAGTCTATGTTGTACATGTCAGTAACGTTTTTAGTTGCTAGTTGCTATCAGCTGACTAACGGCCTAGGGGCGTTGTTTCGCGCCAACGGAATTAAAGAACGAGAGTTAAAAAGGCGGGCTTTGGTAGGGTTACATTGGGGGTAACAAGTAACAACGCGACTAACGGCACGTAATACGCACGTATATTGTGGCACGTTTGCGAAAATAACAATTTGTTCGCGTTTGCGATCGATCGACATACGTAAAAGAGAGACTATGTCGCAACCATCAGTAACGGCATACTTTAATACGCGCAAACGGCAGGGGTGCGACGAATTACGTGCCAAGTCGAAGATTTTGCTGCTGGAGCGAGATAATCGGACGCAGACGAGTATCGAGAATTTGGAGAAATCTCCGACAAATACGGCAACTAGTCCGAAAATCGTGTTGCAGAATGCTACCACGATGTTGAAGGAAGGCGTTCGGGCTAATAAAGCGGTCCGTAATATCCAGTTCGATTCTTCGAAAGCGATCCCCGAGAAAACGAATAGGCCCAGAATACGAGCCACTCGCTCTCGTCCATTGCCCTCTATGGATGGAAGTCAAGCGGATATTAGAGATAGCTTTATGAAGGTGGGCAATGATTCCTCGGAGATAAAAAACGTTCCCTTTGAGAAGAAAGGTACGCTTAGTCCGAAGAAGTCGCAGACACCTAAGAAGACATTGAAGGATAACGCGATGAAAGAAACTGAAAAGGAACGTTCTGCCAACGGCTCTCTCACTCCATCCTCGTCAAGAAAGCTTTCGACGATGGAGAGATTTGTAAAAAATGACAATTTAAACTTGACCGACATCAAAAACAAAATTAACAAATCTTCCAGATTGGCAGAGCTGAAAGCTATAACGCGACAATTTGCCAAGTATGATCTGACATTGGAACAATTGCAAAAACAGGATGAGATTAAGAAACCTCATATGCAAAAGTTTGAGAAGGTGCAACTCGAAATACCCGTAAGGTAAAGATCTTATTTGTGAATTTAATTATCAAATGTATACATATGTCCTAACATTTTCTTTTTAAAGTCCACAAAAGACGTACAAATCCCCAACCAAGGGATTACTTACTCCAATCAAAGAGAGAGATTTGTCCAAGACAGTCAGTCCCCAGAGGCAAATTTTGTTTGAGCCTAAAGAAACAGTGTCAAGTCCAGGAAAATCCAGTCCTGTTAAGGCATATCAAAAATATCTGTCAGTGGCCGAATCTGGATTAGCATTGCCATATGACTACAGATTCCTAGCTGAAATATTCAGATGCATAGATACGGTAGTACCCTTGTGAATCTGTTAATATGTACTTTAACTTTTACTTTGTAGATTTTAATTTCCACTTTATATCTTGTTAATTATTTTGTCGTTTAAATTTATGTTATAATATAAAACATGTCGAGCAATCGATTTTGTCTTTAGGTTTCAGCAATGCTGTTTAACAGAAAAGAATTGATAACATTTAATAAACTGAGACCTGCAGTTCAAGAATTGCTACGTCGTAATTTTACACAAGAGCACCTAGCTCAAATAAAAACTATTTACCCCGATGCATATGTATACCACCAAGAGAAGCATCGAAATTTCGGTTCAGTGTCTAAGCAAGAAAAATACGAATTAGTTCTAACACCTACGGTTGAAAAAGTTAATGGGAGAAATACGCTTGATGCAGATAACATATTAAAAACTGCGTCTGAAAGTAGTATGAGCCCTACCATACTGCTGGAAAGAAGGAGGAAATTTTATAATGCTTTATTAGGTATATATTACTCTTTCTTTTCAAATGGATTTAATCATCACCGACCAAATATAACACACATACCCACACATGTATTTTTAAATTTATTGTTACAGAGAGGGTAAAGAATGAACATGAAAAATTTTTATTGACCTTTGAAACTCCGAAATTAATGAATATACCGAAAGAGAAAATAGTACGCTGGCATCCCGAATTTGATGTGGAATCTTGCAAGAAAATTGAGCAAGCTGCATTACCGCAACCACCTTATGTTGAAAAACCAACTGCTAGGGATGTTCTTGGTAAGAGTTATGACATTGATGGTAGTAATAAGAATTTTGTATGGACAAATTTTATTCTTTGTTGCTATTATAAAAAAAAAACTATTGAAACTATATTATTGTAATTTGTATGCCTACTACAGAAATTCATAAGATATCAGGATAATATAAAAAATGCAAAGTATATAGTTCTATTATTGTATATTATATGCATGCGTTACACTCAATGATATAATATGATCTTAATTTGGATGACAACTTTAAGTAGGACAAAAAATTGCACAAAAGGTGCTAAATAACAATGCGTTTGCATAGTTGTGAAACTTGGTTTTTAGCTGTTGCAAAACTTTATTGATTAATCAGCATATAACGCAATCGGTATAAAGGTACTGCTTATGCGTAATACTTAAACAGTTATATTATACATCCTCGCATTATGCGGTACCCAACTCAATACTTAATTAATAAATTAACTGTAGAGAATGGATTTAAAGTGTCACTTCAAAAGGATCAAATTATTCGTAGAATATGTAGGTTTCTCTTCTTTTTTTTAATTAATATGGCCTGGCAAAATACAGCTATAAGATATTTACACATAAATATTTTTATTTGTGTTATTTATTTATTTATTTTTTTACAGACAAAGCTAAATCTTTGTTTAATTGTGGTACACGTATGGAAAAGGCATTGCAAAGGCTCGCTGAAGCAAATCTAACTACTAAATCTAAATCTTCATCTCCTACACAAGATTCTACAACCCAAACAACAAAAGATGATATTCCAAAGATTAATATTGCCATTGTGGATATTCCACCAAGTACGCCATCCATACAAACTGATCATTTCGCTACACTATTTAAAGGCATCCCTAAGGCTCTGCTCGAAAAGGTAAGAATAATTGCTTTGAAATGGTAATTGTGACATTCAACGTTTGTGATATTTATGTTTTAAAAACATATTACCGCTTGTTTCTTCTCCTGAACTTTCATAATTATAGGTTCGTGCTAAACAAGCAGCCAAGGCATTAGAAGCAATGACGAGAACACCAAACGCAGACAAAGAGGCTGCATTATATTCCAGACTTCCCGAATTAGCAAAGCTCATTCGCAATATTTTTGTGGCGGAAAAGAAGGGCGTTTTACCACTGGAGACAGTCATACAAAAGTTAGACAATTCTTTTAGAACGAAATTAATGTTACAAGAAATGGAGGAACACATACGACAATTGTGCAAGCTTTTACCTACGTGGGCCAGTATACATAACGTACGAAAGGTGGATTATTTGAAATTAGATAAAAATGTTGAACTTGCTAAAGTGATTAATCGATTAGAAATTTTAGCCAATGATAAAGTTAAGATAGCGTCCTAATTTGTACAGGGTGGGCCATTTTCACAACAAAAAAAAAATTAATAAAAAATATCAATGTATGCTCATTTGATCGCATTTTTAAAAACGTACCAATAGATGGCCCACCCTGTATATTCCGATAAATTATACGTTGGATATCTGCATTTTTACCTAATAGTGAAACTATTATGCTACTTAACTAAGTTTGAAACTCTTAATTTTGCACATTTACATTTATATCATGATAAAAAAAAAGAACTGCATGTTATTATATGTAATTTATGACATTACCATTTGTTCTTCACGCTTCACAGAGCATTTTTAGTAAATATGAAACTATGAGGTATGAAATAAAATGTAACAAATGGGAATATATATATATATATATGCAACATTTTATATTTTCTTTTCCTATTTTATTGCTTATATTAATAAATTATAATTACTGTATTATATATTGGTTTGAAGGATTGTTTATTCAGTAAAATGCAACGATACTATCAATGTGAATAATAATGTGATGCGAGACTATTTTCAAAAAAGAATATCAATATGGATTTGTTATTTAAGAAATTAAAGTAGAGTAAATTATATAAGAAGTTTGCTATATTTATTAAGTAAAACTGCTGACAATATTTGCGCATTGCCTCTGATTTTAGTGTGTATGTTTATTAATAAAATTATTGAAAAAAATAACTTTTCTGGATAAATTATGTTTACATCTGATAAATTATAATTATAATAAAAATACTTATACATATGTGTGTATATAATTACATATAATCTATGTATTTACATGAACGCCTCATACAGATTAATTTAAATGCGTTTATTAATTTCACATTTAGAACTTGATAAAAAATTATATTTATACAGTAGTTTGCGAAATTAATATCAAATATTTCTTAATTGACAATATATTATGTCTAATACTCATCTTTTGAAAATTTTGACACATTTCAAATTGTTTCCATTGTTTTTATACAGTTTACTTTTAAGATCTTTTTAATTTGTGCGCTTATTTATTACAACTTTTAAATTAAACAAATATGTATATATGTGTACGAATAAAAAAAAGTGTGTGCGTGTGCGTGTGTGTATGTGAATGCGCCTTTTTTGTTTAGAGAGAGGAAAAGAAAGACATAATTGTAGAGGAAATGTAGAGAAAACGATATTATTATATCTAATGGCACATGTTTCCTTACCAACAAAAACGATGAAAGATTGCTATATTGCCCGTAATTGTTAAGAAAGATTCATTATATGCGTTAATATCTTGCGATAACTTTACGACAGCTGGACGTTTATGAAAGTGTCGACTGGTGTCGACTGATGTCAGCTGGTGTCAACGAGTATGCACATGTATATGGATGTGTGTGTATGTGTGACTTGTACGATTTCTAACCTCTTCTTTCAAGTTGACCAAATCAATTGTATTGTTGTATTTACTGTAATCTTTTGACATTCATTCACATATACTGCACGTAGTTTTAAAGTTGCACTGAAAGAAATTTTTGAAATACCATGTTCCTGACAAACATGCTGTTGAAAAAGGCAAAGAGCAAGTAAGTAAAGCCATTAATAAAACCGAACAAAAATTTAAGGTTAGAATGTGTATATTCACGAAACAAAATGTTAATTTTTAATGGGAATAATATAAAATATGTGCCATAATTCATATTTTATGAAATAGTTGATTTACTAAGTGTCAATTAAAAGATGAGATTAGTCATAATATGTTCACGAGAGAGAGAGATTAAAAAAAATTTATTACTAATTCTAATCTCATTATAGGCATGTCTTAGTCCTTACACAAAGTGTTGTAACCGGTCATCGGTTAGTGCGTATCAGAGAAAGATTAGCTGATAAATTAGAATTTACATACTTTGATCCTTTGAGTAAGTGATTATTTATACACACATACATATAAGATTATGTACGTTAATTACAATAATATAATAAAGGAAAGAACATATTTGAATAAAATAATTGTATTGTCTATGTATATACGAATGTTCAGTATATTTTATAAAAACATTGCATATATTTTTCTTTAATAATAATTAATATATATAATTTTTAATAAATAGAAATTATAGTATACATTAGAATGTACATTATGAAATATTATTTGATACTTGGAAACTAATTTATGATTTCTTTTTGCAGTTCAAAAGGTCACATTGTACAAAGAAAAGAGAAAATTATGTAGCTTATAATTTACAACTATTATAGTGTACTTTACAAGTATTATAATATTACTTGGAAAATTTCCATCTGGGATAACATGCAAAAAATATATTATCTCAAGTACAGTGTAACATCTAGTTTGATTTTTATTTATTATATTCAAATATAATATCAAAGCGTAACACACAATATAATAATGATATGTCTCTGTGTCTAATCTATTATGAAAATATAGTTATCTGACGTTTTTTTTATGAATGTGCAAATAGTAATAAATATAATAAACAGAAAATATCAAGCATGATACTGATAGTGTATAAATGACTGTAAATAAATGAAAAAATCATATAATAAAATATTGCTCTTGTTTGACTTTATTACATAAAAGTATAATTTTGTCTTATTTATAAATTTGTAATTAGTTATTGACTATAATTCCAGATACATAATGATTTGACACCCCCACCCCCGGAAAGTCGGGAAGTCCCAGGTTTGACTCCTGGCTGAAACAATATTTTTTGCAATAGGGGTTTTTTACAGATTTTTCTAATTTAATACAATTTTGGGAGGATTATTAATGTTTCAGATTAATTGTGTTGAAAGTTGGAAAGTTATCGGTGTGCAATCATGTCTGAAATAAATTTATTTAATAAATATATACATAATAATGTAATATATGAAACATCCAACTTTGACTTAATTGACCGTCTCATATTATAATGATTTGACGTTCGAATACATTCAGTTTAAGATTATAATTTGATGCATTTATAAAAAAAAAGGCAAAGAAGCTTTCGTCAATCTCATTTTACATATCATTATTGAAAAAAAGTTATCAAATAAAATAAAATGCATGGTGAACAAATGTTTTGTCTAAGTTTCATTCGGTCATGTCGAAAGGACAGAAAGCGAAAGAGAGGCAAACGGAGAATCGGCGAGAGACCAGCCAAGAGTCTCGACATCGAGATTGGGGGTAGATTTCCTTTGATCCTTAACAAGGAACACAAAGTTGTATTATTTCCACCTGGGTTTCAAACGGTTCAAGATCCGCCAGGCGTGAAACACGATCCGCCCTCTCTCTCTCTTTCTCTTCATCTCTCGCCCGTTTAGACTTTTCGTCCCTTTCCTGAGATGTTGGAGACTTGTCTCACTACTTATTCTCTCTCTCTCTCTCTCTCTCTCTCTCTCTCTCTCTCTCTCTCTCTCTCTCTCTCTCACTCACTCATCTTCATTCCCTTCCTGTTTTTCACTCAGTTTTGATTGAGGGAGCAGCGGCAAAGTCGCGCAGTTTACTGATGTTACAAATTCAATTTCTCCTTAGCCCAGATCATTGTCCACAGGAAAGGGGGGAGACCGCAGAAGGGATTATATCCTGGAAAGAGAATCGTCTCTATCTTTTGCGATTGTGCGTGTGACAGCTCGTAAAGTTTGAAATCTTTACCACTTTTTTCCATCTCTCTCTCTCTCTCTCTCTCTCTCTCTCTCTCTCTCTCTCTCTCTCTTTGAAGAAAATACTTCTTCCTGGATATGCACGCACGCATGCGGAACTACGCAAACCTACAATCGTGAGACAAGCCAAAAAGGATACAAAACAAATCTTTCAATATGCGCATTTTGAAATGTCACGTCAATTTTCTATCTCGCAGATTAATTTTTTAGCAAATGTAATAATATTACTTGTCTTCAGTATAAACAAACTCAAAAAATTCATTAAAGTACAAAAAGACACCCTCCCAAAATTCTCTAATAAAAACGTTGTTTACAAAATCTTTTGTAAGGATTGCGATACAACGTATGTCGGCCAAACAGGAAGGAAATTAGTGACAAGAATAGCAGAACATCGCAATCATATTAATAGAAACAATAGTAACCAATCAGTATAATTACAGACCATCGTCTTGAACGTAATCATGAATTTGATTGGGATGGTGTCCGAATTCTTGGCAGGGAGAGATTCTCAACAAAAGATTGAATTCTGAAATGCTTCATATTCACATGCAAAAGAATGGACTTAACTTAAAGACAGATACAGAATTCTTACATTACTCGTACGCCTCCTTATTGGATACTTTTAAACACGATTGAAAACGAGACTTGTCCATGAGTTAACTTTCTTATCTTTATTTATTTTCATTGTATTAAGAGTCTCCTTACCACTGTAACGTTTAATTTCGAACGACACGTCATATTGAACTGACATGTAATGTTATATGTTATATGTAGAATTTGCGTGCGATTATATATTATAAAAATGTGAATCAATGGTTTTCTTGAGCTTCTGCTGTGTTTCCCGTTGAGGTGAGTCACCCTAAATTAGTCATATTATTGAATTATCACAGAAATGTATTAATCTTCCAAAATTATACAGTGCACACAGTACAGCATTTTTGGCAATTTGCGAGTGACTTACTCTCAACGGACGATTTTTTATTTTTATTTTCGTTGCTGATGATGACTCCAAAGAGAGCCGAAACGTTCGATTAAATTACGAAATAATAAAGGAGGATAATCATAAACATCTGGGTATTATCTACGATACATTTTTATTCTTCGCTCTTACAGCAACGTTTGATTCTCATTAGCCCTGTATGAAATTATTTTGATTGCTGAAGATTGAAAGTCCTTTTTATATATTTATATATTTATATATTTCTGTTAATGTGTAATAATATTAATTGTCAGCTTTTGGTATCATACGTGTAAGAGGGCGATTGACCTCTAAATTAATAAGATTCATTCAAATCAAATATAAAAAGAAAGTTATTTTAATTATATTATTTATACAAATACATAATGCGAGTTTATTCAGTCATTTGTTGGAAACCGCGCGACAATTCGGTTACCAATGCATTTGGTTAACTTATACTTACTATATAAAATTCTCGCTTTGCAACTGGAGTAATCCACGCTCGTGATGCTAACAATAAGAAAAAGAGAAAAAGAATTTTTTTTCAATACGAAAAATTTAAAATACCAGTAGAGAACTTGTGGGGAATCGTAAGAGAAGAGAAAGAAAGCGAGAAAGAGAGACAAGTGTAAACAGATGCGGAAGGAGTCTGGTCGCTCTTTCCGGGAGCGTTTCAGTCAGTTTCAGTTGCCTCGTGCGTTCGAGGGTGTTTTTTTTTTTTCTTTTTCTTTCGTCCGCGCGAGTTATTCTCCGCGCTTGTTAACAGTGTGCGCGAGCCCGCTAAAGTGGCCTCACTGCTAATTAACTGCGTTATTTTTTACAACTCTCTCGCGCATTTCTATTCGTCATTGCTCTCCTTCCCTTAACCGCCGCTCTTCTCTTCGGCGCGGTGCGGCGCGGTGGCCACCCTGCAATCTGCGTAACGACTGCCGGGTTCGATATTTTCTGAGAGTGCAGTGGCTTCCGTTTTATTTATCCGCCGTAATCTTAACGTATAAAAGAGAGAAAGGCTTGCAACAACAGAAAATAAAACGTTACAGTTTACCCGAGTAAATATGCAAGAGTAAAGAAGAAAGTCGAATTTTTTATATATTAAATCATATCGATTCTATAGTTTCAATAAAGTTTACTACAGTTATTTACACTTTTCTGTGTTATTTGCGAAAGAAGCGGCGAATGTTCCAACGTTAAGCTTACAAATACAGCATTACAATATATCTTGCACGCTCGCATTTATTGAAACGTTTTATTGGAAGAGTAAAGAGGGGTTAGGTATAATAATTTGATCCACAAGACCCAAACGCATCGCGCGCGCGCGCAGGGATATAAGATCATACGTGTAAGAATATACATATGATATCACCGTGTCGGTCGCGACGACGTAAGATCAGTAAGATGGAGATGGTATCTCTCTGCACCGCATCGGGGCGGTTGGGTCGGGGCAGACGCGGGCGACGCGACGTCGCGCTGGTGGCGGTGGAGCGGGTGGTGGCACGGCACGGCACCCTTCTTTTCTCCGCCACGAAAAGGTACTTGAAATAAATTGAAAATGGCTGGTTTTTTTTTCCCCACCCTTTCATCGCCTTTCACCCCTCTACTCCCGCTCCCGCTCCGCGTTCTTTCATGAATTCGAAACGCGCGGCGACGTTCGAGTCAAATCGGAATCCGGTCGAATCACTTCAATTAATTCAATCGAAGGTATGTAGGTAGGTAGGTACGTAGGTAGGTGAGGGGGAGCGAGGGAGAAATAAATAGTGCGTGTCTCGGGAAAGTTTGTAGGGGAAGCTTGTTAATCGGGACTGTATTCCTCGGAATTGAATCACAAAATTAATTTGTGACGTTACAAGTATCAAATTATCATATTCATCGAGGAGATAGAGCCCTTTCAAAATATATTTAAATTTGTGTGTCACTCTTACTCGAATGATACACAAATTTTAAAAATCTCGACAGTCACATCGATTGACAAAAGTCATCTTCAGTGTGTATTACAATTGTAATACCAAAGATGACTTTTTGTTAAAAGATCGAAACGTTTGTTGCTTATGTTGTTTAGGTATTAAATTATTCATTTGAGCAAAGACATATCTAGCGATCGATTCCCTCTGTTAGTTGTTGATTTTTGAAAATTATGTATGCCTATCGCAAAGTCACACGCATTAAAAATTTTAATATTTTTTATTCTTTGAAATAAAAATCGCATTTGTTGTAAAGTCTCGAATCCGCGATAGATTGCCTCGTGTTCTCTCATTTCTTCTTTTCCTGTACGTGGAAATTTATTTATATATCAGTTTACGCAGTAGTGAGCCTAAAGAAATGGCAAGATAAAATGTTATCCCTTCCGTTGAAAAAGGAAATAATGTCGCGACGTGACTCGCGATATTCAATAAGTTCTTGCCGTTCTTGGTTCCAGAGAAAAGTTGTTGGTTTGCCCGGTTTGCGCGGTTTTCCGCGTGCGTTGACGCAGAGGCGTATAAACGAGGGCGCGGCACATATACATATATGGGTGTATACGTATACACCCACACGCGTGTACGTAATCTCACATATATACGCGCATACACGTAGCAGTAAGCCAAGGCACACACGAGCGCGACAAGGTGTATTGAATCGACGAGTATC